CTTTAGCTGCAAGTCCTGCTACAAGATAAGTCTCGTTATAAAATAACTTTTTCGATGGCCCAGAGATTATCTACTAACGAAGGAGGCACTGTAATGGGTTTCGGCCTGACTAATGCACCGGCCACATTTCAGACTCTGATGAACAGTATCCTCCGCCCGTACTTACGAGATGTTGTAGTTGTGTTTCTGGATGACATTATCATATTCAGCAGATCGTGGTCAGAGCATCTAAGCCATGTGCGGACGGTGCTGGACGTGCTCAGGAAGAACCAACTGCTCTGCAAGTTATCGAAGTGCGAATTCGGCGCTTCGGAAGTTCTGTTCTTGGGGCATTGCATCAACGGCTCTCATATTTCACCTGACCCGAAGAAGGTGAACGCTGTCCGGACGTGGCCCAGTCCATCGAGCATCACTGAGGTGAGACAGTTCTTAGGCTTCACGAACTATTTTAGACGATTCATAGACCACTATTCGTCGATAGCTAATCCCCTTGAAGCGATCACTGGAAAGCACGCACGATTTGAAAGGGACGATTCCAAGCAAGCTTCCAGATGTAGACAAGCCAGTCAGAGTGGTTACGGACGCAAGTGATTTTCCGATAGCAGGCGTTCTCCTCCAAGAAGATGATAACGAGGATTGGCACCCCGTAGCATACACTAGCCGCAAATTATCATCTGCAGAGAGAAACTACACAGCGGCAGAGAGAGAGAGAGACCCTTGCATTCGTATTCTCGCTCAAATGCTGGAGAATTTACCTGTTCAATCAATTTGAGCTCCTAACTGACAATATGACAGTAGGTCACTTGAGAACCAAACCCCACCTTACTAAGCGCGAGGCCAGGTGGGTGGAGTTTTTGGCAGATTATCATTATTCTGTTCACCACAAGCCAGGACGAGAGAACGTCGCAGATCCACTATCACGTCGCCCAGATTTGCACAGGGCATGCCAGGATGAGATTCTATCTAGAATTAACAAGCCCACTCCAACAGCCAACGTAAATGTCATCGAGTATGCACTGCAGATTAACGACCAGCTGGCGACAACGATTTCGAATGCATATTCGCATGACAAGGATCTCTCACCTATTATCGAAAGAATGCAACATTCTTGTCCAGATAATATGCATGACCAATACTATTGGGATAAGCAAATGCATCTTTTATGCCTTCGAGGAACCCCCAATAACCGTCTCTGTATACCGAATTGCAGTATGCGTTTGAAACTTATCCAGGAGTATCATGATTGTGCAACTGCTGGTCACTCGGGTCGCGACCGCACCTACTTTCGTTTAGCACGATACTTTTACTGGCCAAGAATGGGACTTGATATTAAGAAGTTTGTTAAGTCTTGCGGAGTGTGCCAACACACCAAGGGCAGCCAGCAGTGTTCTTGTTTTCTGCAATCCCTCCCCATTCCTGACCAGCCTTGGAAGGACATTTCAATGGACTTCATCATGGGGCTCCCTCTCACCCCCAGAGGCTATGATGCCATTTATACATTTGTAGACCGCCTCACCAAGTGTGTTCACTTGGTTCCTACCCACTCCACAATTGATGCACGCGGTAGTGCTGAACTTTACATTTAGAATGTATTCCGACTTCATAGTTTGAGTTCCACAATTGTATCAGATAGAGATCCTAGATTTACTGCCAACCTTTTTCAAGAAATCATGAAAGAGCTAGGAACTAAGCTTTCTTTCAGCACAGCAAACCATCCTCAGACGGATGGGCTCACAGAACGTGTTAATAGGCAAGTAGAAGATGTTCTACGAGCTTTTGTCAATCATAAACAGGACAATTGGGACACTCTTCTTCCGTTGTGTGAGTTTTCCATTAACAGTTCACAGCAATCATCTATTGCTAACACTCCTTTCTGCTTGAATTATGGATTTAATCCTCGGTCCCCACCTGAATTTATTTCACGGGGAAGGGAGAGTTCTGCCTCTGTTGATTGGCTCCAGCAACAACGTGATGCATTAGACATTGCCCGTGATGCCTCAGTGGCCGCTCAAGCACGCCAGGCGCTGTACGCAGACCGTGGAAGGGTTCCCAGCCAGTTCAAGGTTGGTGATATGGTGCTTGTTTATAAGGACTTCTTGCTTACGCCAGAGGCCCGTCTTCAACCGTCCCGGAAGCTGCGGCCAAGGTGGTTTGGGCCCTACCGCGTGCAGGCAAAGATTAGCTCAAACGCATATCGTTTGGAGCTTCCTCGCACGATTCGTTGCCATCCCGTCTTCAACATTACTGCCTTGCGGCGGTATGAGGAAAACGCTATTCCTGGCAGAGAGCAACCTCCACCATCATCATTCACTGACCTCGATGGAAACACACGGTTCATGGTCGAAGAAATTCTGGATCACCGAGAACGTAGGGGACAGCGAGAGTACCTGGTCCATTGGCAGGGCTATCCTGTCGACGAAGCTACATGGGAACCCGCAACTAATTTGCGCGATGAGTCTGGCAGAGACATTGTGTTTTTAAGACTTTATTTTAATTCAAGGAATCTTCACTGATATTGCAGCTGAGTTAACTTCTGGAATTCCATTGCATTGCATTCTGTGTAATTTTCCTCGCGATTTGACTGTTGGGTTCTCGACTTATTCCGCTTATCCAGATATATCTACTGGAGTTGCTCGTAGAACCCTATGCTTCCTTTAGGGGAGTGGGATGGTGTAACAGTGTTACCTGCTGTTCACACTCCTATCCCCTCTATCCACGGCCCTTCGGCCTATCACCTACCATCCCGCCTATCTAGTTGACACCTTTACATCATATATAACCCTGTGCAGTACGAATAAAGATCATTCTTTTCCTCAACCCGCAGTAGCCGGTTACACGCTTGACCCATGGCGAAGAGCAGGAATTTTGATTTCTGCATGAGCTGAGTGCACTTGTTCCGTGCGGCACATGGCTCAATATTTCAAAAATCCTATTTCTTGGTCCGCTAGTATGATCTAGGTGGAACTCCTTCACAACTGGTGTATTCCTCTGAGTTTGCTGGAGTTGTGAACCCTAGCGGCCGTGTATATCATTTCCTGTTTCCTGATCATCTCCGGATAGCTGCTTTGCGCACAGATTCAGCTCATCTGCAATGCTCTTCTCGGCAACAGCTCTTTTAATGATAGTTCTATTTTCTGGCTGGTATTTTCGCCATAGTTCTATCAGCCGTAGCTCCACCTTGGCAGAAAAGACCACTCGAGGCATGGTACCGGATTCTCCAAAAACTAACAAAACCTCAGCGCATTCGACACACCAAACCACTCGGTTCGTCTTGCCTGAAAACTAAAAGCCGAAATCCGCTTTCAAAGCCGCCTTCAAAGTCGCTCCGGGATGGCTTCGAACGTTGATGTGATATTTCACTTTTCGCGCATGTTTCCATGCCCACTTCAAAGTCCATGATGCTTTTAAGTTGTATGCGGTTTTGTACCGTGTGTAGGCCGCGGTCACACATGAAAAGCGTAACTACCGCAGCCGCTTTGGCGGAACACACGATGCAGCGGTCACACATGAAAAGCGTAACTACCGCAGCCGCTTTGGCGGAACACACGATGCAGCGGTCACACATGAAAAGCGTAACTACCGCAGCCGCTTTGGCGGAACACACGATGCAGCGGTCACACATGAAAATCGTAACTACCGCAGCCGCTTTGGCGGAACACACGATGCAGCGGTCACACATGAAAATCGTAACTACGGCAGCCGCTTTGGCGGAACACACGATGCAGCGGTCACACATGAAAATCGTAACTACCGCAGCCGCTTTGGCGGAACACACGATGCAGCGTTCACACATGCATGGTAAACTACTGTGCTCCTCAATTATACTATCAGTACAGCTCAACGCTCCGCTTTGGCGGAGGGAATGCAAATGCAGCACGTCCTATGAAATTTTAGATGTTCTTGTCCGAGTTTAAGCGACCTTTGCTTGTACAAGTAGAGCTATCGTGGATCGCTGACAGCCTGCTGAATGTCTCCTGTCAAGTACACTCGTGGATTTGGGGCACATTCACTGCGGCCCAGTACGGGTGTATTTGAAAATTAGTTTAGTTTACATCAATATCAAAATTTATTATAGTTGTATAGCAGGGTGTCGTTGCCTCCTCCATGATCCATCATCGACCCAGCGACTGCGGGGATGCCGGCAGTTGCAGTGAGGGTGTGGCAGAGTACTCTACTCTCCCTGGTTGCAGTCCTAATGTTGCATACTCTGGTGGACGTATTGCTTGGAGAGAGAAGGAGAGAGTTGGAGATCGTCCGCGATCGGGGCCAATGAGTTGGGAGACGGATTCCCTCACCAACAATCCACTCATAACGATGCAGTATTGTTTGCCGGATCTCCAGAACGTACAGTTCATTGGCAAAGAAGAACAATATGAAAACTGAATACCAAACGGCGACCAAACAACACCAGAACTCAGTGCAGAAGTAGGACACCAAACTCCAAAGCCATCACCATGCAGGTTCCGCCAAAGCGGATCTGAGAAAGCGGAGGTATTTTGGCGTAGCGAAATCCAAACTTTCCGCCAGAGCGTAACTTAAATCTCCGCCGTTGCCGAGGCAACGGTGGAAGCGTAAGTTACGCTTTAGCGGTGATATGTCTACAGTTAGCAAGAAGACATTTATTATAAAACAAATCTGAAGAGAAGGAAAACACAACTGAAGAGGCAAAACACATGAAGCACGGAAGTATCTCCCAAGCCAAGCAAGCATGCCGTTATGGTGCGAGGTCATACAACTGTGGTACAAATCTAGTACGGGAGTACATGAACTACAGGTCAAATATGGCATGGGGGAATCCATATACATCACGCCCCTTCGAGATAATGCTGAGAAAACAAATCCAGTATTATCTATCAAATCCAAACAAACAAACAAATAAGTATGGCAAGCAACGGCCTATAGCACACGGCGGAACAGACATAGCATGCCACACAAGGATACAGAAAGATACGATATGAGAACAATCCTCAAGAACATGTACACGATGTTTCCAGAACAAATCAAGATGCATAAGACTGTCCACGGGTGGAGGAAATGTTCAAACGAGAGGGTGGTTGGTGTGCTCGTGTGCTGCGACGCAGAGGAGGAGGCGTAGCAGGAGCAACGACAACAGACGGCTGTGGTGAAACGCATGGTGCTGGTGACGGCACGGGTGGAGAGAACGGACGAAGAAAACGGCGATTTCTCCAATAAACTCGACCACTAGCCAACTTGACGAAATAGTCACGGTGCTGCCCAATGGCCACAATCACGCCACGGGTTGTCCAACGCTTCGTCTTTGGATCCTGGACGTCCACAGGAGTGCCGATACGGAGAACGGGAAGAGAGCGGTGGGTTGGAGTACTGGCTGAAACAGGTGTCGAGGGTGGTGACTGTTCTTCACGCTCACTAGCGACGGTCGACCACGAGGAATCAAACTGCGTCCACTCAGCAATGACGAAAGACCGAAGTGGATGCCCGAGAAGATGCTCAGCTGGGCTCTTGCCAGACGGACCGGGCGTATTCCGCCACTCCAGTAGACCACGACGAAATGCATCTGTGTCGAGATTGCCATTTGACGAGGTCTTGAGCAGCAAGCGCTTCATAGCTTTCACTGCGGCTTCCGCATGTCCATTACTCTGGGGATAATGCGGGGAAGAGGATACGCGTTGCACTTGCCAACGGCTACAGAAGTCGGCAAACTTCTTCGATGCAAACTGGGGGCCACCGTCGGTGCACAGTACAGCAGGCACACCCAGATCGGCAAACCAACGACGACAAGCGAGAATGACATCGTGTGATGACGTGGTCCTGCCGGTTCGAACAACACACGGCCAACCAGTCAGACGGTCGACATAAACAAGAAACTCATAGCCTTGGCAAGAGAACAGATCAGCGGACACAAACTCGAACGGCAGAGTAGGATGACGGTCATTCATCGGTGGTTCGGCTGACTGCGACGACTGGAATTCTCGACACGCGGAACAGGTACGGACAAGGGTGTCTATGTCGGCGGTGAGACCAGGCCAGTACACGAGCTGTCGGGCGCGAGCCTTAGTGCGGACGAGACCTTGATGCGAGGCATGAAGGTTAGCAAGAACGCGTTGACGCATAGCCAAGGGAACTAGAATGCGTTGGCCTTTCATGACGATGCCCTGGTCCACTGACAGGTGTTCACGTCCATTCCAGAAGGGTTGGAGTGGAGCATCCAAATCACGCTGACGAGCGAGAAAACCATGCAGAACGCACTGGACAAGAGACTGATAGACTGGATCAGCTGAGGCGGCTGCTCGAAGTTCAGCAAACTTCAGGTTGGGGTGAGGACCATCGTCACGGAGCATGCACACACGGATGCTGCGGCAATGAAGAGCAGGGGCTTCGCCGAGTTCATCATCTGAAGACGGGATGCCGACGGGATTGCGAGACAGCGCATCAGCAAACGCGTGATCAGAGCCTTTTCGCCAGGAAGCGTGCACTTGAAACGACTGCAGCTTCAGGCGAAGACGAAGAAGGCGAGGATTCTCGATCTGATCTAGAGAATACGCGTTGATAATCGGGATCAACGGACGGTGATCAGTGATCAGATCAAATAGGGTGCCGGATAAGTACAACTTGCACTTGTGCACAGCCCAAACGACTGCGAGCATCTCGAGCTCAACAACAGCATAGCGAGATTCAGCGTCAGAGAGGTAGCGGGAGCCACACTGGATGATTCGCCACTTATCATCCTGCTTCTGCCACAGAACGAAGCCGAGACCACGTAGTGCAGAGGCATCAGTCTCCAGACGGAGGTCGTGTCCATGCTGGTAGAAAGCCAGGATAGGAGGGGACAGCAGAGTAGACTAGGTCTTCTCGAACGCAACAGTGTGGTTGGCATCCCAGACAAACTCACGGGTCGTCTTCAACAGACCACGAAGCGGAGTGGTGCAGGCGGCGAGGTGTGGTGAGAACTCGCTACACTGGTTCACCAGGCCAAGAAACGAACGCAAATCAGTGCGGTTCGCAGGAATGTCAAAATCGCGAATAGCCGCTGCCTTGTCATCGTCAACAACCCAGCCGTCTGGACTGACAATGTAGCCGCAGAAATGGATGTGACGTGACGCAAAGGTGAATTTGGACGGGCTCAGAGTAATGCCATGCTGTCGAGCACACAGCAGGATGTCACGAACATGGGTGACATGGGAGGCAAAGTCGTCATCATAGGCCAGGCAATCATCTACAACCTTGGCGAAATTCGGGATTGCATCGAACGCAGCATCAGTGCGGCAGTTGAAAACATCCCCGGCGGAAATCAGGCCTTGAGGGTTGCGTAGGAAACGATACCTGCCGTATGGGGTGATGAATGTGGTCATTGGACATGCCTGCTCACTCAGTGGGATTTGCCGGTATCCGTGCCTTGCATCAAGCTTGGTGAGGAACTGTGCCGATCCAATACCAGAAACCACATCGCGAGCGGTGCGAACAGGGTGGGCTGGTCTCAGGACTTGGTCATTCAATCGTTTGAAATCGACGGTGAGGCGTTTCTCAGTGGTACCTTTCTTGTCGACGAGCACAATCGGGTGACACCATTCACTAGGTTCACTGACAGGCTCGATTATGCCATCGACAACCATTGTGTCCAGTTGTGACTTGACCTGGTCACGAAACGCGTACGGAATCGGGCGTGCGGTATGGACACATGACGGCTTAGCATCTGGCTGAAGTTGGATGTCCATCGGAGGACCTGCCATCGCCTTCAAGCCAGTGTCGGAAAACACGTCCGAGAACTCCTGCAATAGCTCATCGCGAACACGAGCGATATCAGCAGAGCTAGGATTGACAACAGGCTTTGATACAGCACGGATCTTAGGTGGCGCGGCAGCATTAGCAGCAGGGTACTGTGCAGGCCAATCTGACGGGAGGAGCTGGAGTGCACTCAAGGACGAACGTGATAGAAGAGCATCGTCCAGACCCTTGTACACGTGGATTACGGTGCTGTGTTGTACTTCGCCAACCTGAAGTGAAGCACGAATACTGCCGACGTTCTGCAACTGCTCTCCAGATGCCGCTAGGACGCATTCTGGGTCATGGTCGAGGTTCTCGGGGAACCCGCCAAGCAGTTCGAGATGATGCTCGCCAATGGCATCGACGTCACTGCCAGTATCAGGGACCCAGGGTAGCGTGACTGCCTCATCCTCAGTGGCTAAACGGGTGGACACACGCACAGTAGGCTGCGCAGCAAGACGAGTACGCTGCAACTTCAGTTGGCCCACATGCTTCACGTTCCGGTCCGATTGTAACGACGACCTACACATAGCGAGAAAGTGACCAGTCTTGCCACAGCCATTACATTTCTTGCCGCTGGCAGGGCAACTAGACTTTGTGTGCGGGCTCCGGCCGCAATTGGGGCACTTCTTGTGTGTGTCGCTTCCTGAAGAGGGAGCGGATGCAGATGGCAATACAGGTGCAGACATCTTGCTGCCAGGCTGTCCCTGTCGGGATTGTTGCTTACTGCGTTGGTACGCGGACCGCCGCACAGCATTGAGCTGGCTGGTGGACGGGATACTGCTGCTCGTCGTGGTAGCCGCTTCCTCCGCCCGGCAAATTGTGACTGCATCGTTCAGGGTCAAGTCCTTGGCAGACAATAGCTTGTGCCGGGTAGCGTCGTCACCAATTCCAATGACAATCCTGTCACGCAGGGTGTCAGCACGCACACGTGTCAGGCTTGTGCGACAGGTACTACATGTGTGTGCTGAACATTGTGAGCACAAAACAACGTCCGGAAAATCACAGCTAGTGTGTAATTCTTTCAACGAAGTGTAAAAAGAATCGAAAGACTCGCCTTTCGACTGACACCTGTCGTAAAATGCGATACGATCCAGGAGTGGGTTGCGCTGCCGTCGCAAATATTCCTTGACTGCAGAAATCACATCGTCCGCATCGGGATTCGGTGGAGTCACGATAATACCCTCGCGGAGAAATCTGCGTAGCTCCTCATCCAGAGCTTGCCGCAGCGAGGATACTCTGGTCTCACGGCTCTGGGCTGACAGGTGCTGGCACTCATAATAGTCTCGCCACATTTCCTGCCATGCCGTGAAGTCGGCTAATGTCGAGGACGACAGTAAAATCGGTCGCTCCGCAGAGACAGGCTTTGGAGCTGGTGATGTGGTGCTGGGTTGCACGGGTTGTTGTGTTGGTTGTGTCAGTCGTTGTATAGTTTGTTGGAACAGGTCAGCCATTTTACGTTCCCTCTCCTCTGAGGACTTCATTTGTGCCGCCAACATCGCGGTCAGGGCAACAATGTCAGGAGCAGGGTCTGAGTCGGACATCGTGGTCGTAACCTAAGCAAATGCTGGTATCACGAACAAACTACAAAAAAATCGGCCAGTGCGCAACACAACGAGGTGCAAACACAAAGCACGAGAAACTAAACACACAGGTGAGTTCTACAAGGAACGAACAGTTCACTGCGCCATGATATGTCTACAGTTAGCAAGAAGACATTTATTATAAAACAAATCTGAAGAGAAGGAAAACACAACTGAAGAGGCAAAACACATGAAGCACGGAAGTATCTCCCAAGCCAAGCAAGCATGCCGTTATGGTGCGAGGTCATACAACTGTGGTACAAATCTAGTACGGGAGTACATGAACTACAGGTCAAATATGGCATGGGGGAATCCATATACATCAAGCGGAACCGCCAAAAAATAGGGAATGTGTGACCGGGGCCTTAGCGGAGGCAAAAAGCGTAACTACCGCAGTCGCTTTCGCGGAACACACGATGCAGCGGTCACACATACATATCGGGCGCTTTCGATTACACGCATTTCCGTCAATTCTAGAATTAGTTATTGTTGATGCACAGTTCGATTACACAAAAAGTGACAAACTCCGTCGTTAGAATTGATTTTATCCAATTCCGTCAAATCCGTCAATTCTGAAGAGAGGGCGGAATTTCTCTAATTCTGGCGCCAGAATTGCACACTCGGTATGTTACCGGTCTGGTCATGTATCGTATCCGGTCGGCCCGGGGTTACACTAGAGGCTGCGGTCGTCGACATAACTAACTTACTAAATCTTCTTACAAGGCCGTGGAGTGGTGGCCACTTGGAGAGAGAGTCCTCCAACAGAATTACTCTTACGCACGTACGCACATATACCTAGACATACTCTCACACGCACACTCAGGCATAATTATACAGACACGTACACTCACACCAGCGTTCAGGTTTACTCACATCTTCAACGAAGGTAACTTAGTTCAAGAGATGATATGAGAGCACAAGGCGAGAGAGACGAAAGCCGAAGTTGGCGGAAGGCAAGAGGGGGAGAGAGAGAGAGAGAGAGAGAGAGAGAGAGAGAGAGAGAGAGAGAGAGAGAGAGAGAGAGAGAGAGAAAAGGCGATTGCTATAATATCTAACTACGGGCAGGAGGCTGATCCCCCCCCCCTCCCCCATACGAACTATAGGACAAATAATGAACCATAGTACACACGCATGCCGCAGTGTACAAAAACTTAGCAATAATATGTATAACTGTATCACAAAGAGCAGGAGCCAGCTAAGGAATAACAGGGTATACCAAATAAGGAAGGCGGCAGGCTTTGTGTGAAGACATAAAATAAAGGCGATTATGAATCCGTTTACGGGAGATAAATAAATAATTAGACACCTAAATAAGGCAGAATTGTCACGTAGAGGCCTGAAAGGCACGTGTCAATAGTATGGATACGACATATCCCCCCGCTTACACGGAAAAGAACACGTCCTTGTGTTATACGTAACTTAATAAATTAAACTAAGATTATGGCTTACAATTTTAACTTCACGAGTGCAGGTCAAATTGGAGTCCCTACCAAAATTGTTCCAAAAACTAACTTTAATATCGAACACAACCAATCCAGTCAGTACCACTGAAGTCACTCATTAGTGCCACACAGGACTCCCAAACAGCTGGGGCGGATGGCGGGAACGCGTGGTTCGCCTTTCCATCACGCCAACTGGCGGAGCACTGTCAAATACCCAAGCGGTGTCCTCCTCGTCTCGGGCGGCGGTGGTTGTCCGTTGGCACCAATTTACTTCGGGCCTTGGTCTGAGGTTTCCTTTTCCAGCTCCTTAGGTAGGCGGTCAGCAAAATCCTCTGACAACAATGTAGCGGCGGATCCTGTATCAATCACAGCGTTTACTGGACATCCATTCACCACTCCAGGCACCAACATGTCCGCACGCTCACTCGCATGTTCAAAGAAGACCGAACACATAGATCAGGCTATTGTTTTCTGTCACAGTCTAAGTTTTGCAGATACTGACTTCAACCCCACTGTTCCAGTTCCCGGGAAAATCTACAAAAGCGGATGCAAACGACCTTCCGTCTTTTACAGCACACCCTTGAAGCTGTGCTCTTCGTTAATAATGACAACTCTTGGAGTAAGTACTACGACAGGCTGAGAATCCGCAGAAAATGGCACTAGACTAGAGCCATTTCGTCGCTAAAGAGCGGTAAAAACCGCACTCTTCTGCTCTGCTCTTAATCCCCTGGGTTGTTTCTCTGACAATTTCCCAGGACATGGGGCATACTCCTCCAGCTCATTAAGTTCCAATGGGTCCCTTGGGATCATTGTGTTTTGACCATTATATTGGGGGTCTCGACGCCCAGAGCTTGGAAGATAATCCATCAGGCTTCCGGTAAATTCCGGGCATGGTCATCGCAGAATTAGAGCTATCCGATCTCTAAAGAGCGGTAATAGCATCAGCTATATCCCAGAGGCTAATTCTTGTAAGAAAATATGATTGAGACATAAGTAATTTGCAGCGACGAGACTATTGATTTGAGAATGGTGTGTGCAGGGATCTCCATGTAATGAAGTGCCTGCAGTGGAGTATGCATTCCATAAGAATTCCTCTATTTCTATCCAACCAATAGAAACGTCTTTGCACAAACATACATAAAGATGTACATGATAATCATATTGAAAAGACGTTTCTATCAGTTTTATAGAAATTGATGATTAGGAAACTGAAGTAACAAGCATGATTACCTAGGTGAAAGCAAAGCATAGGGAGGGCACTGGGCTTTCCAGCCAATTGATTTGTAAACCAATTATTAATTATCTGTAGTTGTAATTTTCAGCGTGTATCAGGCGTGTACCAGCGTACATGCCAGCAGTCACTCAGTCACTCTGACTGGCGGGGTACCAGCGTACATGCCAGCAGTCACTCTCACTGGCGGGGTACCAGCGCACATGCCAGCAGTCACTTTGACTGGCAGGGTACCAGCGTACATGCCAGCAGTCACTCAGTCACTCTGACTGGCGGGGTACCAGCGTACATGCCAGCAGTCACTCTCACTGGCGGGGTACCAGCGCACATGCCAGCAGTCACTTTGACTGGCAGGGTACCAGCGTACATGCCAGCAGTCACTCTGACTGGCGGGGTACCAGTGTACATGCCAGCAGTCACTCTGACTGGCGGGGTATCAGCGTACATGCCTGCAGTCACTCTGACTGGCGGGGTACCAGCGTACATGCCAGCAGTCACTCTGACTGGCGGGGTACCAGCGTACATGCCAGCAGTCACTCTGACTGGCGGGGTACCAGCGTACATGCCAGCAGTCACTTTGACTGGCGGGGTACCAGCGTACATGCCAGCAGTCACTCTGACTGGCGGGGTATCAGCGTACATGCCAGCAGTCAATCTGACTGGCGGGGTATCCGCGTACATGCCAGCAGTCACTCTGACTGGCGAGGTAATAGCGTACATGCCAGCAGTCACTCTGACTGGCGGGGTACCAGCGTACATGCCAGCAGTCACTTTGACTGGCGGGGTACCAGCGTACATGCCAGCAGTCACTTTGACTGGCGGGGTGTCAGCGTACATGCCAGCAGTCACTCTGACTGGCGGGGTACCAGCGTACATGCCAGCAGTCACTCTGACTGGCGGGGTACCAGCGTACATGCCAGCAGTCACTTTGACTGGCGGGGTCCAAAAATTGGTACTCGAAGGTGTCGCTAAACACGCTACTCGGATTGCTATTTTTTTGTGAAAGGCTTAGTGCGCATCTGGGCACGCATGAACCGCAAGCATACCGCGTCCACGCGCCAGTTGTGAATACAGCTTAAGATTTAGTTTATGGCCTCCTGCTTTGCTGCAATTGCGGCTGGGGTCGATGTCTTCACCAGGATTTGACGCGGACCCTTCAGTACTCAACAAAACGCTGAACAAGAAGCGTGTTCAAATTCAGGTGATGAAACTTTGTTTTCAAGCAATGGATGCCTGCAGGTGTCAGGCGATGACGTCATACTAGCATTTTTACATTAGATTATAATGACCAGCAGTAGCAGTAGCAGCAGCAGAGAGATAGGGTAAGCAGTTCAGCACCTTCTTTCCTTGACAAGCACTTCGCTGATGTTGTTGCTGTTTTCAGGCCTGCTACCTTCGCAGCAACATGCGTCACAGGTAGCGCATTTCAGGAATTTGAGAACACTTTGTTCTTGCAAAACTCAACTTCAGCATGCCAAATTCAAGAGATATACCAGGATTCGTATTCCTTTGTTTGCAAAAAAATCACGGTTTGCGTCAGACTCGGCTAGAGGAAGAGTTTTCCGCATCCGCATGAGCGCCACCAACCCTTCAAGGATCAAGGCGCAGATGCAGCTTCTAAAGCGGTGGAAGGGAATGTGGGCCGGTATGAACTACAGAAAAAAATTCGCACTCTGGGCGAAATATTGCGGAACGCGAAGAATTTGTTTGATGCGGAAGAGAGCTCCAGGACCACAACGGCTTTCGTTACAATTGCGTGAGAAGGGTCATACCAATGTTCGAACACAGAAAACAGTGATTCCGACAGCCTGACTAAGGCAATCAAGTCACAAACATTGCCATTTGCGAAGCGACAATTGTAATGACAAGTCGGAAGTACCTATATTTTTGTTATTCAAACTGATAGAAACGTCTTTGCAATACAAAACCCGCTCCCGATAATAAGTATTTTTTTAAGGGGGACAAGCGGTCACGTGCTCCTGCGTACACCAGTCACCTGGTCACCGTGCCTGCAGGCTAACTTACTAGCCTGTTTGACCTTTTTTGGGTGCACTCCTGTCACTCGAGTTGAACCTTGGTGTGAAATTTGTCGCCTGCTGGCGTGGTGATCAGGTGATTTGGGCACCCAGGAGCACCCGACCGCTTGTTCAACCATGTTCGATTGGGAATAAAGGAGGAACGCTGCATCGCCAAAACCAGTCGACTCAACGTCCAAAAGACTACAACATATGGGCAAATCGCGGTCATCCGTGCTTTTATAAGAACGAAATGGCGCTTTTAGTGACATTTTGCATACAAGTCCCCAGCTAGTAGGGCGCAGTCACCCAGTTTCGGTGGAACTGCGTGAGTTCGATTGGGATTCAAGTAGGAAGGGAGCGTCTCAGCTTTCTCGGGCCAAGACCATTCGACTCAGCACCCCGAAGACTACAACTGGTGAAATTTTAATTTTTGCCTTAACTTCCCCTTTATAATTCTGTTTTTCTCGTGAATGGTCACCGTTTCCGATTGGAAGAAGTCCTTTCTTTGGAATTTGACGAAATTATTCAACAAATAATTTTCTCTGCTTGTAAAACACACGGAATGAGAGTGAGTAGATATTGCAGCAGCAGAAATACCTTCGCGTTTGAGTTGCCGTTGCAGCGCTTCACTACGAACAATACAATACCATGCGGACAAATGTGAGCACACGACACGGAGTACTGTACATCAGCAGAAACCTTTCCAATAAATCGTTACGGGTTAGGGCTGCTGTACTACTAGAACTCAGCGCGCACCTTCAGTGAAATTTTGGGGACTGAATGGGAGATGCTTACCTGACTTCAAGCCAGGGAGAAGCACCTGCTCCCGATAACGACCGGGTGGTTCCTGTCCGGCGTCCGCTATTCTGGTAATGTTGACCCGGACGATTGGAAGTCCCACAAATCTAAACGCCACCTGCCGATGGGCAGGTAACGAACGAAAGCGCTTCACTTTCGCAACCAGATTGCAACGGAGCGTCACTCAAACTCCCAGAAAATAACAATAATTATGAAGGGCCGCAAGCAGAACACGCATCCGCCCAGAACACCCACAGACGGCAACGAGCAAGAAAAAAACCGATTCCGCATTGAACTGAAGCACGGACGGTGCAGCAGTCCAAGATCCTGTCTACACGTTCGCTGCACGCTCCAGCGGCCAGAGCTCTGTGGCTTCATTCATCTGTCTGATCTGGCAAAAGTTGTAGATTTACGCGTAGATTATGTACATGACTGTACAACATGACATCAGATTCTACTGCCTGCTCCACACTACAAAAGTACAGTGCTGCTCATGTACAGCAACACGTACTAGTACATGTAGTACGAGTAGGTCTAAAATCATTGCGGGCCCATCTTTCCGCTGATACCACGCTAACTCCGAAATGAAGCCGACTGTCAACTGTGTCGCCAGAGGCGGACTACAGTAGCTGTTCAAGTGTCATCAACAGTAGCTGTTCAACGTTGATGGATTACTATCGCTGTCGGGTGTCTTTCGCGCTGCTACGTTCCGCTGTGTTGTGTGTCAGCCTCTGTCAGGGGTGCTCGGTCGGCCCGTCATCGTCCAGTTTACATGCTTCGTGAGTTGGCGATGGTGGAGGGTCGGGTTCCCCTGCCGTGATTGACGCTGCACCGAGCTTGTTTTGTGTGAAAGTAAAACTTTTATTATTATTCTTATATCTGTACTTCAAGTATTACAAAATATTTGAGAGGCTTTGAATCGTTTTTATCAAAATCTAAATATTTGCCGGGTTGGAAGGTGGGAATCAAAGCTGTTCAAGTGTCATCAGTGAGCGATGTCGCCTGTACAGTGCACTATGATTATGTAGACGCTGGGCTTGTCTTTTCGAAGACATCACGTCACGTGGTACACAGCCGGGCTAGATCGTAGTAGAGGCAAGGCAGGGCAGAGGAAATGAGATCCTTTTTTTTACATGCAGTAGCTACAGCCAGTTCAAGGTCAAAGGCAAATGTGTAAAAAGGCTGTCATCCACAGCAGCACTCTACAAAACACATCATCATGCATGTACTGTCGTGGACATGGACGCACGTCTAGCGGCCCCAGGGCGCTGGCCATGCAGCCATGGCATGCTTTATTTCGCGCTGCTGCTGGCCGCATCGTATCAACAATAACATGTGCGCTGCATGCAACGACGACGTTCTGTAGATCTACGAACTGAGGGCGCCGGCCCTGGTCAATCGACTGGATTTCCATGTCCGCGACAGTACATTGTAGTCAGGGAGTCGTAAAAGCCCTGATTGTAGTCATTCATCCTGAGCCGCTCGCGTTTTTTTCGGTCAGTCGGCTACTACATGTATCATTATAGCAATAAAAACTGCTTTATGGCAGTTTTCTAAAAAAAGTTATTGTGTTCTAGTCCATGGACCCCGTCTAAAAAGTAAGAAATTAACGAAATGTGATAGCTGAAAATTAAAATTTCACACAAAACCTCACAATAATCACAACACTTGAAATGCTGCTTTCAACCAGGGAGTAGTACAATACTACTCCCTGCTTTCAACACTAAACTTGTACTGCACCAACAATTGGCAACATGCATGCATAGGAAAGAGGATCGCGAGGGGAAAAGGTCTTCTGCATGTAGCTTTTCATTCTGTGTGCGATTATTGTGAGGTTTTGTGTGAAATTTTAATTTTCAGCTATCACATTTCGTTAATTTCTTACTTTTTAGACGGGGTCCATGGACTAGAACACAATAACCTTTTTTAGAAAACTGCCATAAAACAGTTTTTATTGCTATAATTTCTTTTGTTTTTTCTGTCACCAATCAATGGAATGCCCTACATCAAGAGTCCATATGGACTCTTGCCTACATGTACCGGTATATCTATATGTAAATGATGGCCTTCACATCATATCAATACCATATTATACGCATTGATGTGCAAGCCTTTTCTTGCAGAAAATGGCACTAGTATAATGCATGTTCTTCTGCGGGGAAACATGTGAGCAGTGGTGGTGATACTTTTTTATACGGAGGTCATTCTGTGCATGTTGCTGTTGCAGAATTTCATGACTCTGTCATAAAATTGTCTTGCCTTTCAGATATTTCAGATTTCTCCACCCTCAATCAGATTTATTTGAGAAATGTAGCCATGCGGCAGGTGCGTGTCGCAGATGTTTTGTTGATTCTGTGTTTATAATGGTTTATAATCATGGGTTATCGTGATAAGGTCATCCAGCATCATATTGAAACTGAAATCGTAATCCTGTTGATGTCGATTCAACTTTTGGAAGTAGTTCAATGACTTCAAACTGTTAGTCCACGATTGTCTAAAACAACACAGCAAAGGAGGAACAATAAACATGTAAACGAATACATTGCTGAGTCAGAAGCCTCGTTCCAACAACTACACTGATCCTGAGGAGAAAAGGGACAAGGCTATGGTTGGAGGTACTGAGAGATAAACAAGGCTCTCCACAATAATAAAATCTTACACATCTTTTGGTGAGTATGAATGATATCCAGTCGAACCTCTTTAGGACGAACACCAAGGGACCGATGGTATTTATTCTGTGAGCTTAACCTATTTTTATAACCAGAGAATACAATTATATCTCCAATAGACATACGAATAGATTTCTTCTACAGCGAAAGATTCTAAGCCACACCGACTCATTGACTCGTCTCGTATGAAACAATTGAGTCACTAGAGAGATTCTGCAAAACGAAAATGCGTACAAACTTTCGCTCTACATCATGAAGTGCGAAACTTCGCACCTTTGGACGCGAAACTTGCAGGGAACGCGAAATGAACTGTCGTAGGAAATTTCGTGAGATCGGGTCATGGCGTAAGTGCACTTGGCCCGCGCAAACTACGAAAATGTGCAGAACGCAAAGTTCGTGCAAAAATTCGCACACACTTTCGCAAGGACTGTCGCGAAACTTCGTTCGAATTTTCGTTTTGCAGAACCTCTCTACTGAACCTTTCTTTAGCAACATGACGGCAACTGAAACAGCAACAGAGAAAGTACGATACATGTACTCCACATTCTTACAGGTACTACAAACAGATTGCAGATCGTAAGTCTTGCTTTGGCGGCACGAAACTTTATAGGCAGTGCAATCTCGGCGGTACTCACAAATCAAACAGTCCAGACTTGCGTTAACAAATCCAATCATACAAGTACGAGATTTTCACGAGACGAGACTGCACCCATTGGCTTGTTTCGTTTGAAACAAACAAGTTAGTGAACCTCTCCACAATAGAGATTTCCCCTGATATGCGAATTTATTTTGCAAACTCGGTCAATTGGTACTTGAACCTTTCCCTCCAGATTGGGAACTGCCAACGATAGTATGCCACTGACCAGTGCCTTACTTGTAACGTACCAATGTACAATGAATATGAGTATTTCGACAACACATCTAACATAAGCCTTACCGTCAAGAAGTTGAACTCGCGTTCTTCGCACACTGTAGACAAGGGCAAAGAGATAAAAATGGATCTAAATCCGAATAAAATCAGCACACGTTTCCGTAAATGAAAGGTGAACATAAGCAAATGAATCGAAGGAAACCGGTCAACTATAGAGATCACCTGTCATCGAGTATTCCGTAAAAGGAGGCCTCGCAGCTCGGCAGCAGAAAAGCAAAATTTAGAAAAGAGATCCTGTCAACTTTTCCATTATTTATTGCATTCCGCCCCAAAATCAGCACACTTTTCCTGAATGAAAGAGTCAACACAAGCAAATGAATCAAAGGCAACTGGTCAACTCACCTGTCATTGAGTAATATTCCGCGAAAGGAGGTCTCAGCAGCGCCGAAACGAAATGAGCCAGGCCATGAGACGAAATATCCGAAACAGCTCATGCAAGAAGCAGTTCCAAAGAAGGAAGTTCCTCGCGCATGCACATCCGAACACGGATCCGCGGACTGCATGCACTGAACACAATGTCTGCCGTGCACGTGCACAGCACACGGCTACCACGCGTTGGTAGATCTAATACCGAGCACCTTACGTAGAGACTTACGTAGCCTAAGTGAAATACCGAGCACCTTACGTAGAAACTTACGTAGCATAGCGATGTCTTTTTTTCAGCCATGTGAACACAACAATAGAAAAGCTGACAGGATCGCTTTTCTAAATAATCGCCTTGGGGGTTAGACAATGGGCAGTAGTCATGTAGGGGCGTGAGCCCTCCTTTCGGCACCGGAAGAGGACCCACACCTTGATCTGGTGAGCTGCGTCGCGTTTCGATCATGCTGACTGAGGCTACTCCTTTTCACAATTCGGCCTCCACTAAGGCCGCGGTCACACATGAAAACGGTTTGCACCGCTTTTGCGGAGGCAAAAAGCGTACCGCAGCCGCTTTCGCGGAACACACGATGCAGCGGTCACACATGCATATAGGACGCTTTCGATTACACGCATTTCGGTCAATTCTGGAACTGGGTTTTGTAATTCTCGAATGACCAAAATGTAAGCATCCCGCCTATTCCCGGCCATGTAAACGAACCACTGGAATTCACAACGCATTTTATTCATGGCATATCACAAACAAAATTGGTCGTAAAAAAATATCCCGTACACCCTCGCGCGCGCGTCGACCCAGCTTCGCGTACCGGTCCATCTCGGCGAAGGCTCCATGTCGGCCACAATAGTGGGCTTCGATAAAGCTGAACGCGTGTGCGAAAGGACCACCCAAAATGATAATCAGCTCCCAGCGGAAACTCAACAGCTTTTCGGGAAGACAAAAGTAGCAACTACGTGCAGTTGTAGCCCTGCGTTCGTGCCACGCCGGCTAGGGAAGCTCTTCCTTGACTTGACTCATGCACCAGTAACACAGTGAGTGCGTTCGATTATGCACGCGAATCGATTCACGAATCGATTCATGAATCGATTCGCGCTATTCACATCACCCCATGTGAATAGAGTGAATGGATTCCGAATCGATTCCAGGGCTCATGACATGAAAATCGAACGACTTGAATGCACTTGAATCGATTCATGAATCGATTCAAGTGTGTAATCGAACGCACTCACCGAGTGAGCAATTCTGGCGCCAGAAATAGAGGAATTCAGCCCTCTCTTCAGAATTGACGGATTTGACGGAATTGGATAAAATCAATTCTAACGACGGAATTTGTCACTTTTGTGTAATCGAACTGTGCATCGACACTAACTAATTCTAGAATTGACCAAAATGCGTGTAATCGAAAGCGCCCATAGACTACTGTGCTCCCCAACGCAACGCT